GTGGTGGTGGTGGTGGTGGTGGTGGTGGTGGTGGTGGTGGTGGTGGTGGTGGTGGTGGTGGTGGTAGACACATTGGCGCAGTGGGATACGAAGAGGCTTGCAAAGCTATTCGTTACATTACGTTCGCTCGAAAACAGCAATTTGACTCACACAAACCCAATGTCAGCACCTTCCTGCATGTCCACCCTTCAATTTAGGCAAACCCCGCCAAAAGACCTTCAATTTAGTTTCTCAAGCAACATTAAAGTGCATAAACGCGCCCACAAAAAAGTTGACAATTTGACCTCACAAGTCCATTGAAGCGTGGTACAAAAAAGATGAGAGATGTAGGCAGTAGAGGCGCATACAATTGCACCTGTGCAGACAACATAAAATATGTACTTTTGGAAGGAAGACATCTAGACACCGCATGAATTTAGTGTAACAAAGTTCAGGTAACGATTTCAGTAGCTATTGACGAAACACTCGATGCCATTTGTGGGGCAGAGGGGGAAACAAGTTCCGGCGCAAGTTGTGTAATTACTGCTGCATGAATCTGCCTGACTACACTTCGCATAAAATGGACTGTAGGGGCGGAAACACAGGCAATCACTCTTCGGCTGCTTGTAGAAACAAAAGCATCAAACGTGCATTTCAAATTTGTTATGCAAGCTAGGAAGTCATTTATGCGAAATGCAAAGTGAACAAACGTCCGGAGCAATCTGTCGTGCAAGAAACAGCGAATTAACACAGAGCTGAACAACAGCAGGCGCTTCGGCTTAAATTAAAAATACGGCTTGGGGAGGGGGGTGATGCCCTAAGGGAGATATCCAAACGCTATCATCATAAAGGCCTTCACAGTAACGTGCAAGAGGCTCTATTTAGACAAAATCCATGAAAAAAACAACAGGTATGTTTGTGTAACTGAACCCGTATCATGCAGACACCTGTACGCCATTACTGTTAGACGAACATTTTAAGATTTTGATTGATTTTTTTTGACTGATAAGTATGAATTTTTGTTTTGCCGTACGGATACCTTTTGCATGATTCATTTAATCCTCATATAATTAAGATACTAAGATGTTTAACTGTTAGTCTACGGGAAAAACTTGACAAAGTATACATTGGTCATTTACAATCAAGTAATGTATAAAAATCACTCAAACAACCAAGTTCAACCAAAGATCAAGGTCTCCAATTAGTTTTTTTATAAAAAAAACAATCCGTTCATGACCTTAGGTTACATCAACAAGTTACTTGGTGGACCATTTACGTTTTACATGCGCAGCGATATGCCCCACCAAAAAAAGGTGGATGAACTTACTTGGAGTTGGGATGTCTCCTTCCACTTCGAATCGGATGACCGGGTTCACTTGCCGAGGTGATCGATACGGGCGAGATGGGGGGCGCGGAAACAGGAGGGGAATACGGAGAGGTGGCCACGGAGTGAGCAGCTCGACGGGCCTCACCAAGCGCTTGATTTTGATTGGATGGAGGAAAAAAACGGGTCGACTGATCGACCTCGTGGTGATTGGTTGTAGGCACCATGGTTGATGGTGCGACGTGGTTTCCGGGAGTAGAGAGGCATTCTACTGATGGAATCGAGTGGTTGCTGAGCGTTGCCTGAGTTAATAAAAACATATTAACTCCGGATTTCGTGTATCTTTTAGACTCTTGCTAAATTGCTTTCGCAGACACCCAACATTTATAGGGGCTCGAGCAGTTCAGAGAAACGTGGTGTCAAATTAAACTGACTGAAAGAATTTTCCGGAGTTTTTCTCACACCACATCAAAAGACAACGCTACGCAAAGTGCGTCTCTAAACGGCCATTCTATTAGTCACGTAGGCGGCTAAAATGCTCTATTTTGTGGGCGGTCGCATATCAACCATTATTTTAAGCAGTACAGACTCTTAAGAGTTAAAAACGCTCTGAAAAGAAGAAAATTACAGCAAATCCAGTCATCCGGTAATATAATATTCAAAGCCTCATTAAATATGCCACTTGATAAACATATACTGCTGCTTTTATGTCCAGTCATGAAAATAAGAAAAAAATAAGTATACTATTGTCGAGTGTACTGTGCTAAAGTGTGGGACTGAATCGTTTTCAAATCACTCCCTTACGATGTGACATAAAAAGGACACATATTTCGTTAACAAATGGAAACATTATGTACAAACAATGAAACAGGCCTAGCGTAAGTGGCTGACATCGGCTACAAAACGTTGAGTATGGATGCCGTCCAGCAGTCATGCCCACGGGGTCATTTTTCCAACAACCAATTTAGTAAAAACTATCCAAGCAACAGAGCGAGTGCATGTTTAGGGTTTAAGAGGTCTTAATGAATGCCCACACGCACATGAAATGCATTAGACACTTTAGTCGGTGTTTTAACTTCAGTGCTTAAATGCGTTCAACGAGGGAGCTATAAGCACATAATTATTTCGGCAATATGAGTAAAAGTCTTGCTAGTTTGTGATTATGGCCTCCTCTATAAGGCCAATGCATTCTATAAGATCGTCCCAGCGCCATTACATGACCTCAGTTAAAAAATGCGCAGGGCAATTAGCCAACACGGTAGCGTTTGATGATGGGAATGTGTTGGACTGTTTTTTTTCTAATTCCTTCGCGTCTGCAAGGATGACCTGATCCAGACGGAGGATGCTTTTGTAGACGCGTCAGCTCCAAACACTCCACCTCCCCTGGGACATACAATTGTTTTCATTATTTACCAGTATAATCGCGCAGAACTTACGCTTGGAGTCAAGCGACTGGTGGTGGACCTGTTTCAACATTTGCATACAAATCATGAGGTAAAAAGTTGTTTTAACGAATCACCCATCAAAAAATTTAGTATAATTATGGAAGCAAATTGTGTAAACTCCAGCTTTTTATCCATTCGAATTCGATAAAGTTAGTTAATAAAATCACAGAATGAACATGCATCAGTAAACACTAAACCAGCAAAATCCTAATAAATTGTTATGATTTTTGTTCATTACAGACCTAAAGCAAGTGGAGATGGTACAATTCCTTTGTGAACGGGATAAAAATTCAATTTAGAGCAAACTAAATAAATACGTATTTAGGGATACCCTCTAATTTTAAATTTGTGCTGTAAACAAAACAAGCTGTTGTAGTTCGAACTGGTAAATTTGTGCTGCTCGTTCGAGTCAATACAGGCATTTTCGATAATTTTTTTAGAACACTGACCGTGTTAGAGATTTGTAGATTGAATTTAAAAGCACCACGTCTGGCCACGCTGAACGCGCTCAGATTTATTTCTACTTTAATTGGTTTTAAATCCGCACATAATATTTATCATTGTTACAGATGACACCATAGAAAAAGGCAAATTTCCTCCACCTCCCTGGTATTTACTAGATACAAATATCATAAAATGTTGAGAAAGGTTTACAAGGGTAACCCTGACAGATTTTAGAGGCGTTCGAATTATAATAACAACGAATGATTCTATTTAGTTTCATAAATCTTAGAATCTAGGGAGTGCAAGGTTTTAAGATGTACTAAATTATCCGCTTAATTATCACCCATGTACCGATGTACTTCGGAAGTACACGATAACAATTGTCTTTCAACCGAGTCACCTAGCATTAGGCTTCTCATGTACATTAGTCTTTTTCTCCGTAAATCTCTTAGTTTCGGCCCTGCTTTTATGAAAACGTAAGGTCAGGTATCATTCACAGCTCTAGTTCGTGGTTAAGTCAATTTTATTTTAAAAAATCGGTTTACTTACGACTGTACAACCACCTTCTGTAACTTGAATTTGAGACAGCACAAATTTCAGTTAAGTGTTAACCCGTGACTTCCAGTCCTGTTTTACTGTTAACGTATGCAAAATAAATTAGAAAATTTTACATTCGTAAACTATAATGAAAGTAAATATGACTACTGAAAAATTGCGGAAATCTAGCCTAATTATACGACCCATTTGCCATCACCAATTGAATGCTTTAACGCGAACAACACAACCTACATTTTCCCAGGCAAAATGGAAAAACATGGAGATGACTAAAAGGGCGTGTAAAACCAAATCGAGTAACGCATGGAATTGCATTTTTCTGACAATTATAGATTAGTTTTTAGAAAAAAAAATTTTTTGACGTGCAATTAGGAAAAATGGGAATCCAAATACTGAAAATATATTTAGATCAATGACAACTAACAACTAGCTAATTTGAATTAACCTGTGGTACTTCAGACAACGAGCTAGCCTCAACATAACAGCCACAAAATAAGGACTTTGCTCGTAATGAGTCCCTGAAGGAGAATAGGGGTGATATTGTGCTTAACATTTAAAAAATATGGTTCATGTCAAAAAAAACTATAGACGTTTAAGCGAATGTTGGAAAAAGAAACAGATGCCAATAATGCAAAATAAAGAAAAAATCGACTGATTTATAGATGACCAATAGATAGTAACCCAAGGGGAGACCAAAACGCAGGTAACAGCAAAAATAAATGCTGAATTTTGGTCGGTTTAGATATTGCAAAGTAAAACCCGAAATTAAAAGCACAAATTTATTGGACACGCAGAAACCAAAATGGCCAAAGTTGATGGACTTAAATTGCATGGAAGAACAAGGATGAAAAATCAAGAAAAAAAGTATTACAGGCAGAAACTAAGGCGACTAGATGCCATCAAGCTAGACCTGGGTTGATTGATCTATTTCTGAGAGTTGGGATACTTTAGAACTGTTTTAAATCAGATTTCAATCAATACTTCAATAAATTGATAATTTCTTGCCTAATTTACCTACTTTAATGTTTGTAACCTTACAGAAAAGCATGTTTATAAAGTAAATAAGGCAGCACTGTTAGAAGAATGCAAAAGCTAACAGTCTACTAAGTCAGTCGAGTAAATCCTGCCTCTCTCTCTCTCTCTGCACGTGTCGGTCAAGTTAACTACAAAATTACAGAGGCTTTTGATGAAGAAAGAAGGTCTGGAATCAGGCTTTGCGGTTCAAGAACACAAAATGGCCAACACTCTGGTCGTGAATGGTCAAATGACTGTTAGTCCACAGTAGACATGTGTTCGTAAGGTTCTATGAGGTTATTCTACGGATTGCCACAAATTGTCATCGTTTAAACTGACTCGGAGTGCAGGTTACGACGACTGAATGTCAGTGCTGCTGGTCACGAGGAAGCACGAGAACCACACATTGCACCCTGGGTTGAAGAAGTGGTTCATGGAAGGACACGTATGCTCCTGCAAGTTTCTGCTTCTCGCCTTCTGCAGACACAATCCAGATCAACTTGACAACTCTGGTTATGATCGAACAACCCGATACTTTTACGAACTCTCTAGGCCACTACGCTTGGAGGTATCGGTGAGATTGAAGCCAAAACAGGCAATCATTACAAAATGTCACTAAGCAGATGCTAGCATATGCAAATAGGCAGCATCAGATAGTGTATCAGTAGTGTCGGGAGAGGATAAAAAGAATAATTAAGCATACTCCAAGTTCGATTTAGTTGCAGTAAGATTAGTAGCGAGCTTCCATCTACACGAGTTCGGATCTCAAGGGGACAATACATATCCACACTTCTGAATTATCTTTAAATACAGCCATCAAGTACCCACCTGAGTTGGCGGCGATGCGGCTGAAAGAGCTTCAGGAATCGGAACCTTATCAAGGAAATTGTTTTGGACCGTTTCCATTTGCCGATGGCACAGGTACGGGGCCAGATTGCGTGATTGAGGTAGATGCATTGGCACTTGAGAGGGGTTTGATTTGGGAGGGTGTCTGCAAGCATTTCGCACTATTTCATTCAGTGCCTCTTGAGAATCCTAGGTCACGAGGATCAAGCAACAGTAAGTCAAACCACACTGGCGTTAATGCGAATCACAGAGCTTAAGGAGAATTATGCGTAGAAGGAATTCATTCAATATGGTGTTCAAGGTGCTTAGTACATCTAAATTAGCGTAGGCCGAAGAATGAAAGAGGTAACTAAACATAACTAATAGATGGATCTGCCTAAAGCAGTGCTTTATAACTCCCATTACATTAAGCAGGAGGCACAAACAAGCGGGTTCATTAATGGGTAATTCATTATCTCCAGGAGCCAATTACGATAATAAGACAGCATGTCATCCAACTGACTCCTCAGCATGGGCGGAAACACGTCAATAAAATGATTCTCCTCAATAAAACAATTCCTTTAGATAACTATGGAAAAAGTCTAATGTCATTTGTAAGGGTAGTGTGAAGGTAAGTGTTTTGCAACCAAATGGACTAAATAACATTCTACCAGAAAGACACTCGATAAACAAGTTCCTAAATTGGGGTTTTCTTGTTTTGGTATGGATTAATTAACGGGCCTTTTTACATTTCATCTTAGCCTTTTAGGAACGCAAAAAAATCCATTGTCCTACCTGACACTAGTGTTTTAATGAATCAGATTAAAATCAAGAAAGTGTATTAGTGATAATCCACTAGATGGGTTGAGTAAAATAAATTCCGGTGCCAAATTTTGCAAATTACAATCGATGTTAATCAGTAGTTGCAAATTATGCTGATCCAAATAGATTAATAATTGGTGTTTGGATCCACCAAGCATTCGACACTTCGAGGCCGCATAAAATCAGTTACAGTAATGTCTCCAAGAATGCTTTCAAGGCGTCAGTTTAGAGAACGGAAGTATGGCATTTTAAAGAAATTGAAGTCAAGACAACAAAAATAATAACGGCCATGTTTAAGCCCACAACTTCAATTTAATTTTCTGCGTCGAAACTTCTTGAATTTGTTATTTTAGTAAAAGAACAGGGAGCTATGAAAAATTAAGGTTCAAATTGGCACAACTCCACGGAGAAATTTTTGTAACACGCGCTTACAATGCCCATAAAGTCATGTCTAGGGCTGTTCAACCTCTGTTGAGGGTCAGTTTAACGGTCTGAACTAATCAGGGCAAGTGGGAACGCATGTCAGCTCATTGTAATACTAGATCTCTCTCTCTATCAACCTACTTGCAGTCTACATGAGTGTCGCTGAACTCATTAATAATTCAAAGTCAGCTTTTCAAACAGCAGGACGTTCACTGTGCACGAACACTTCAAAATGACCTTCTTATCCGGAAGTGGAAATGTGAAAGTTGGGAGGTAAAATTTGAGAAAACGACTCAGAAAACTCCCTCCAAACATTAAACCTCATTTCGCCGAAGCGAGTAACCAGTTAGGCGAAAGAAAATCCTTCATAGTCTATGCTCAACTAGTGTCAAGTGATTAAAATTTGTGGCCATGAAAAAAAATTAGAGATACGTATTTTGAACCCAACAATCTCTGTACCAAATCTGTAGGACACAATCTTTCTTTGTATTTGCTAAAAGGGTTGTCCTAAACATTTCCTCTATCTTTGATCCATGTTAATTGTGTTTGCTCGGCTGAAAGTTGAAATTTAAGAAAACGTTTACTTTGAGACAATAAATTAGTTGTTTCTTAAGAAGTCTGGTGGCTTTGTTGGCTGATGCGGGATGAAGCAGAATACGTTGCAAGTTACTTAGATATTAACGTAGTTTGATGTGTGTGTGGATGCACTGTTGTTTTGGATTCAAATGATAAGAAAATGTAAAATTTGAAGGAAGCATCGGCAAGAAAGCCGCCAAATAACGTCAACATTCGACACCGAACCTCCATGAGAGGCTACCGAAAAACTTCACCTCAATGGCCACAAAACCAAGGACTTTCGTAGCGTGCACAAGTGAACACACAAAATGAGGTGTTTTTTTTAAAAATCTAAGCAATGGCCGAGAATCTTGATAATGAAAATAACCTTTACTGGTTAACAGTTTTCTAAGATGACCAACGACTTGAAGAGGTACTATAGTGTTGAATGCTGCATTAATATCTAACTTAAAAGTGATTAAGAATATAAAAAAGGAGGCAAAAATATTCCAAGACATTTGTGGCCACTTATTTTTGTGAACTACACACTTAAATTCTCAGTGTGGCGCATTTTAAAAGTAAAAACGCAATTCTAAATTTGGAAATTACGAATTCCTGGTTTGGGGCCGTTATTTCTGCCGTTTGGTGCAATTTGTACACTACAGAAAGGTAATGAGAATGAACATTTTGCCGCAATTATTCAATTGACTGTCGTTTGGCATAAATGGCCCTACTGGGGCTGGGTAAATGCGCACAATCGGGTACATTAATTAACTCTCACAAATTTAGGACTGAGTGTGCGATATTCACACCGAGTACAAACGTGTGGTCATACCTATTCCCACCACCGGCACATCAATCAGTCTCACTTGCGATACGAATTGAGTCAATCTGAGGCTGTCCTACGTTAAATCTTTTACTCACTCGTTTTAGGCTAAATTCATTCAAATGTTCGGTTCAATTCACAAGGTGTCTGTAGGGAACCACACTCTGAAGCATTTTGTGTACTGAATTCTGCGCACACAGTAAATGCGATTATTTTATTAAATATAGAACTATACATTTTAGAAAGTCATTGATTATTCAATTGACTAGATTTGTCGTCCAGTAGATGTGATAAATGGCAAAATAATTTCTGGATGACCCGCTACATTTATCACACCACAACACAAAAAGGCGACTTAAAAAGGGCTGCCATTTCGTAAAATAATCTTTATTAAGTTGTAGAGCAATAAAGCTGCTGCCCGTGGAATTTTAGCGTACGCTGCAAACTCTAATAAATCTAAACATCTTAAGTGATTTGTCGACTCTTAAATATGTTATCTGGGCATTAAAAACTTGTCTTTGATGTCTTGGATAACAAGAAAATAAAAAAAAACATATGTGAATATTCACCACACAATTAAATTGTCCACACGCAATAGTTAAATGGGTTGAAAGTTGAAAATTCGCATGCACTATATTAGTCAGAATATTTCTGACATGAATTATTTGCTATTTTAAATAACATATACCCAAGAGCAGTCGGCCAAGTAAAATTCACTTTAGTCTTTGTTATCACGGATCCATTAGTTGGTATTTAAAAATGGCAGGATTGCAAATTAGTTTGAAACCGTGATGTGCAGACACACATTTCTGAATTCCTGAACCACTCAAAGTGGATAGAGCCAATCAGGGTTCTGATAACCAAGGTCAGAATACATTCTAACAAATGAATAAATCGGATTTGTGGTATAAGGCAATTTAACATTTAAAATCTTTATTTTAAGCTACTAGAGGGAGATGGCAGTGTAAACGACTGGTTAAAAACACAGAATTTGATGAAATGAACTACTAAAATGTCGCATATATTAGTAAAAAGCCCCTTAAATTGTTGGACAGCCCACCTAAAAAACCGCATCCTCAACTTACGCGCAAAAGCAGGGCAGCGTCGAGACTGGCAGCACTGTGTGTGGACCGAATTGTTAAGGGGTAGTATCCCGAAAACGGATAAACAGCATCCGAATTCCGTTTAAAACTCCTAGTGCAATATTTCATGGGTTGTCGATAGCCTGCCCTAGCACAACCGTCGTACTCGGAATGAACTGACGACCGACTAGCGTGTCGCCTCAAGTGCATCCACACCTCGTCGGGGTCATTGTCGGGATTCCAGGAGCGTCGGACGGTGGCCGAGTGCGTCCGCTTCTGCACCGGCGAACGTAGCTGGTTCGCCTCCGTCAAAGAGGCGTTTGCGGAGGACTGCAGCAGTAGGGCTCCCGTGACGGCGGTTGTTGGTGGACCTTCAGGCCGGAGAAATTCCTCCTTGAAGTGATCAATAAGAGGAGATGATGACGATGATGATGAAGACGAGGAGCTAGACATATTGATAAAATCCGGCGAAGGGTCAGCAGGGAGAATTCGACCACCGCTGTAGGGCGGAGGGGAGGGTTTGCTGGCAGGGGGGAAAATGAATGGCGTCGAATTGGCAAATAACACCGACAAACTGGGATCAGGATCCACTACGCCAGAATCGGTCGATTGATAAGGATGGGCATCCCTAGACGACACTGGTTCACTCGAGATGAGACTGACTTCGACTGCACGAAAGGGAAAAATTCAAAATTACTTCATCAATACGCAATGCAATTTGCTAGAGCCGAAGGCAATTCAAGCCTCAGGTCTCAATTCCAAAGCGAAAAAAATGCGCAGTAATTGAAAATGGTTGATTATTTGCAGCATTCACGATCATTCTGATTCAGTGAAGTCCGTATCACAGCTATGTCGGGTTTTTAAGAAACGAGTTCGTTTAGGCAATGTGAAAACAAGCGGTCTTAAGATAAACCTACAATGAAGGCTTATGTGCCGTGTCCATTCACGGCACCACCAAAATTTGACACTCTTTAATAACGACGAGGTGACTGTTGTACTGATGCAAAAGCGTATTTAAGCCTACCGGAAGTTGAATACTGTTGCACAAATGCGGTGAAAATTTGATTTACTCTTAATTTATTCTAAGTTGCAAAGCATTTATTTGATGGCGTAAAACGATTGAAGGGTAATAGTCCGTGGCGTAACTTGACACGCGTGAACATCTCAGAATTACAGTAGTGTCGATGGAATATTGCACAGGCAAGTGACAGCATTTTTTAAACACTTTGAGCCAGAAAATAGTGCATTAATTTGGGGTGAGTACAAGATTCGAGCCGGATTTTCATAGATGGCAGAAGCGTCCAATTTCGACGGTATAGCTGTTCTTAACTGTTATGGAGTCGCAGTTATTTAGATGCGTCGTGAGTCAGCATGCAATTAAATTTGTGTGTGGGTTTATTATATAAAGCGGGAAATAACGGTAGGCACTGATCTCATGAAATATGCGATTTAAAGAACTGTAAGCAAAACTGTTCACTGCCTTTTTAAGACAGGAAAAGTGATTTAGTCGAGGAACTTTCAGCTGGATGACTTCTAGGCAGTGATAATAACTTGATCCGTGACTTGATGAATAATACAAATCAATGGATATCACGCAAAAGTTTAAAGGTACATTTTATCTTGATAGGTCGATCGCATTTCACAAGCTAGAGCAGCTTGGATTTCTTTGTGTCTCAAGTTTTCATACAACGGAGCATTCTGAACCGTGTTTCCACGGCCATGTTTCTTCTCGTTCGTCAATAAAACAAGTGTTTTACCGTCCCATCATAACTGAGGGCCAAAAATGGTTGGCGTATAACGACAGGATAGAAGAAAGCAGGTGAGATCGTGAAAGTGAGAAAGCAGAATCCGTAGCGAATGGCATCAAACGAAAGTAATGCAGTGTGTCTGGTGGTGGAGTTGTCAAAATACGAAACAAAGGGGACTAAATGATAACTGTGGAGAAGTACGCTGAGCAACTCACTTAACTTAATGTTTAAATTTAAACAACGCGTGCAAATTCGGCCAATGAGAAAAGTGTCGTCATTCATCATGACAATATTTGACCTCATCTCGCATAACGGACAACGCAAAACTGAGGTAGGTAGAATGGGAGATCCACCAGCACCCACTATAGTCCCTGACCTTGTCCTCTCAGATTCTTAATGGCTGCGTTCGTTTATAAAACAAATCGAATGACAAAAGATTCGATACTCTGGAGGAGGTCAAAAACCTCCTAACGGCTTTCCTTGACAGAAAAAACCATGTAGCTTATTTAAAGAAGGAATTCAAAAAACATGGTAAGCTTTGGGCGACAGTTATGAAAAACACTGAAAAGCGCATTAAAGATTAAAAAATAACATATATTTGATAAGGAGCTTATTTGGTTATGAATCGTGCCCAATTATTAACAGTCACACAAAATGCTTGAAAAAACGGTTTTCCTAGAAGCAGTCATTCTGGCGCTCTTTTATGAACCGTTTTATGTCACGGCTGATCTTTGAAACTAAGACTTTGACATTTTGAGTTCAGTCATTCCAAAGTCTGATTTTTCCTGAATTAAGTGGAACCAGCTAATACTATTGCAAAACAGTTCGCTTTGTCTTCTCAATTTGAATAAATCTTTTGCCACTCTTTTCAACAAGGCAACAGATTTTGGTATTTACGATAACCCTTGTAACAGAACAAGGTAATACTGGAGCGTATTAGCAAAGCATGACTACTTCCTTGAACGTTGCCATGTACTTTGAGTATAGTAGGCTTGATTGGTGCCGTTTTAAGGCCCTTTTGGCCGGCATGTAACAACGAATGTTTTGAGCTTAATTCCTTAAAATGTTTCAACTGGCAAATAGCTATAACCACATATCTTAGATCTCGAATTAGCGCATAATTGTTGACCAAATACTAAGCTTTCTTTTAACTCAAGTAACCATTTATAACAAACAGTTTGTTGTGGGCCCCAGCATGTGGTCTTGAACCACGCCGGGGCCACTGAATTAACCCTGGCCCAATTGCGCTTCTTTGATACCCGCGATGAAGAAAATGACCGGAGAGGACGTGGACACAACCGTTTACTTAAGAGCTCAACCACGTTGGTGGCGTATCGTGTCGTGAGTGGCATTTGCGCGTGTGTATTTACACCTCAGATGTATGAGTCATGCATGAGCTAACATCGAGACCTAGGTGTGGGGATACTCCAAGATAAATATTCATGCTAATGAAGGGGGATTTGAGGTTTGGTGCGGCTGGCACCATGCTGCGACAAGGGGAACCCTGTGTCGGAGGTGGAGCGACCGGGTTAAGGGGCTGAATAGACATGATTCACAACAAGTTGCAAATACAAGTGAAGGGAATGACAGATTAATTTTAAAAACAGTGATGTTTCAAGGCAACACGTCGATGTGGCACCGGAAAGTGCAAACCGCGCAGGCGTGATTGGTTAGTGCAAAACTAGACAGCTCCAAGGGCTCTCTGAAACCTTATCTAACAAACGATTTCACCCTACACTTGCACACCTCTGCCTGTCCACACAAACGCATATTATCCAAGAATAGTTCAGCCAAAACAAATATAGTTGGTCTCCTTTATGACTTGGAATAATTTATACCATTTCTTGGGAGTCTGTACATAGGAAAGTTTAACTATGGAATTGGGTATGAGTGGATGTAAAATTATATCCCGCACATCGAGTTGACAAACAGTGATTGCTCCAAACCTTCACCAATCCCGCCTTTGAGGGAAATTTTATGGTACCCTTAAACATCTTGTCACAGTCGACTGAATTCGCTTTTAAGTGGCATGTTTTTCTTAATCAAAGTAGATTTAAACACTCCCATGCCCGTAACCCTAGTTGACATTCCACAACACAAGGGGGGCACATTTGTATACTATCGGTGAGTCCGTCGGTATTTTATGCCGTGGATTATAATGAGCTAGTCCGCATGAAGTGATCAGGGAAAAAATACAATTGAATAATTAACATGAATACTACAAGCATATTAAACTCCTATAAAGGGTTGTGAGAATAAGACTGCTGAGGTATAACATCACCTGTTATTTGGCTTCAACAAATTCTGTTTAGCCTCATGTTTCAGTTAGTCCTGCTGTTTTTGAAAGCAAATTTGTAAAGAACAGTGGCCTGAAAACTTAAAAAAAACTGATTTTACTGTGTCTCAAAAACGTGTTAATTGAAGAAACAACTGCGATTAGCTAACAAACACATGAGATTATTGTCCAACCAGATTTTAAGCAAAAACCGTGGACGCACAAAATAAGCATTTTGACTGATTTGTGGAAGGCCAGAAAGGGTTAGACTGCGGAACCACCAAATAGTGCATCAATAAAATCAGTAAAAGAACGGAATATCGGGAATTTTTAACATCACTTGGTATTAAGCGCATGCTAGATGATTTAGTTGTAAATACACATCTTTTTATGGAATCAATCACCTCCCTAGTTTTACCAATTGTTACATTTCTAAATATAACTGCCACAAATGTGTGTATCTCACTGCTACTGCATTGGGCTGACAATCGACGACACAGCCAAACTGTCAAGTGAAAAATGTTGTAGTATTAAGGATGACAACGCTTTTAAAATATGCTTGAAAATGGATGAAAATTTTGCTAGCCTAATCTACTTTATCCTGGGGAATAAAGTGTCTGGAATAGTTAATAAAAAAACCGATAGAATAGAATAACTATTTGTTGCATATCACGCCCTTCTAATACAAATTAACACACACTTCATCTGAGTTGTTACATAAACACGATATCACACATATTTACTAACTCGATTTATGCATGCAGTTCCAATACTAAATCGCTATTATACATTAGGATAATCTCACCATGGTTTGCTTTATGTGCCCGAAAGGTAAATGGAAGTTTAGGCAATATAAAGAGACATTGCGAGAGGTAATGTTTTCGTGAAAGAAAGGCTGACCATTTTGTAATTTCTCGTTTGCTGCAGCCCCACGAATCGCCGACGCATCCCAGGGCTTTCCTGCGTGCAGTTGTCCCTGGACGAGCTCCTTGCTGCGCTCTTCCCGCTGTTCTGTCCAGCAGGGTGTCTTTGCAAGGTATTCAGGGACGGCCGCGACCTTGTGGAAATGCGACCCACTCAGCAATCGGCCACCGTCTCTCCCGGACTTCCCTTCGACCTCCTCAAACAACAAGAAAGTAGGTGAAGAAGTCACGAATACTACTACTACTAACAACCCTGCATGCACCACGTCAAGATGCAGTGATGGTTTGGGGCCAATCGAGCAGGCGATTAAAATAGGGTTAGTGCAAATTGGGTGTTATCTGCAAAATTAAGGCAAACTACAAACTCAAACGCTGGTAGAACAGAGGTCCTTAACAGCGACGCAATGTTTCAGTTCTAACTGCTCTCACCAAATGCACACAAATGGACCGGCTTTGGTTTTTTGTGACTTTGCCGATCCACCTAAAGTTAATTTCAATTAAATGTAAGTCGGTCACCCAAAAACGAGCGAAATACACCTCAGCCGTTAGGCAGCTCGCAAAAGCAATGTGGCTACGTATCGTAGTTTTCTGGTTAAAGAGTTGAATTTCCCTCGGGCCTGTGTTTGAAAAAAATCAAACAAAAATCGCTGCGATGTTTGACGCTTTCAGCATCCGTTAATTAATGCGATCAGTGATGTCCAAACGCTTGAGCCCCGGTTACACCCAAAGGCGGAATGAAAACGCAATTTTACTAAATACAGAAACGTGCTATTAGGATTATGGACTTGTGAAGACCGAGAATATCCCCTAAAAATCTAAATCAGTCTATCAAATCCAATCCAAACGGAAAACCACACTCATAGATTAAACCAGCTTTCCCACTTGCATCATGGGTAGTTTTTTTGGCAGGTACTAAGGATTTTGACAAATTATATCAAAAAGACTATAATTGCCACCATCACAAAATGCTTCAGTCATGGCAAACTGAATCTCAAACATACCTCTTTAGAAGTTTGAAATAGCTTTTAAAAAAACGTTTTGGCTGAAAAAACGACTAAATCGTCTAAACTTGTCACTTTTAATCATTTCGTTATTGGCTTCTAGTTTGACCTGCTTCATTTGTCGTTTGAAATGGATAAATTTAATGATTTTTGAATAAAAGTACCACTAAATCCTATAAGTGTTCGCTTCAAACACCAGTTATCTAGGCATTACTTGAGGAAAACAGATTTTCACCACAAAAGTTCTCGAGAGACCAGCAAAAGTCGTGTGCTGGTGCAAAGTCAGGAAAGGGAGAAGAGTGTGTCCAAGGTATTCTTCGTAAAATATGTGGTCGGCCGGTTGTGTGAGGAAATAAGTAGCACAGCTCTGATTGGCCGATTCTGTGCGTTATTTCTGGATTTCCGTTTTAAAGCTTTCAGATTACTGCACTGGTGGCTGTCAATTGATGTTTAGCTTAATAGTTCAGTTAAAAAACGCAACATTTGCAATCTGATTACAAAGCGTATTTTAGGTTCTTAAAAAAGGCTGCCGGGGTAGAATGAAGGGCGCAATCATACTAGACGGGATGTTTATTTTCAGAGAAAAAGCAATCAAGAAAATAGTCGAATTGTGTTTGGGCATGAGGTGCCAGGTGTGACGGATATTTTATGCGGTGCAGAGCACCTATTTGGTGTGATTGTTAGATGTTTTCATGTGGTTTAAAAACTTTCTGCGCCCACCAAAACTTGCATCTACATAATTTGCTAAAATTTGACCCCCTAGTACGACCACAGTTGACAATTTACATAGACACCCACACGACGCTGGCATGTTCCTGTCATTTAGGATATCAAATTAGACATGATTTCATGAACACGCATTTACCACTGACACCGTTAATGTTCCTGAGCATTTTATTACACACTGATGCACACCAAAGCTTGAATAGGCGGATTAGATTTAACCACAAATTGCACATTTGAAAAGCTGGAGAATATTTTCTTAAACTTGCATTACTTAAACGCATTTTTACTGGTACACACTGTAGCACCAGAATTATGATGCTTTGTTCGAGGGCAGGCTGTGTATTTGTGTCGCATTGAGCATAATTTAATGAGATGTTAATGACAAAGGCATTTATTGGTTACTTCACTTTCATATTACTCCAGAAACGTACCAAACGCAAATTTCTACAGTGATAATTTATATACATATACTCGTTGACAGTCATATGAACCTGCCCTTAAGGATACAACTAAAATCTGACAAACACATTGACAAAAGTTTGAAGTGTGCTAGGAATAAAAATTGGCCTCCGCGAGAGCATACGCGATAAAACCTGATAATGAGTCACTTGTGGCTGAAGAATTGCGGTCAAAGATGGAAGTATAAGGTTTTTGATTAAACTTGGTTATTTGTCCTAAAAATACTTCTTCAAGTACAAGTATTAGTAGCGTAAGATTTTAAGAGGTAATGAGACTTACAGAAATATGACGACAATAACTTAAAAATCTGTTAGTTTGACTACGTTTTCGTTTAAGCAAACATTTCTGATCTAAGGCTCCAATTCGAGGCAAAAGTTGAGAATTGAGTCGTTCATCTAAATTTTGTTGCCGTTGAATTCACTGCTTCAGAGGTTCCAATCAAGTCTCATTAACAGATTCAAGCAATTTCATTAAGTTTGGACATGTGTGATTCAACAGGATCAGAGACATTTTCGATTAATTAAAGAATCTTCTAAAACAAACGCAAATTATAAGCTCCAGGACTTGGAACACCTCAACTGGGGATATGGAACAAGTAATTTTGAGGTCCAATTTGTGAAAGGGCGTCAGGGAAGGCCGAAAAGGTAAAAAACCACAATTATTTGTTGACATGAAAAATGCAATGCAGCCTGATGAAGTGGAAGAAGCAGGGACAGGGCTGAGATACCATCAAGAATGCCGAGGCTGTTGGTAAAGAGGAGGGGACGAAGGGAAGTAAAGCTTTCGAGAGTGAGAACAGTATGACAAATTAATTAACATCATCATCAAGGATCTATGTCTTAAGTAAGCCATCCAAAGGAAGGGTCGAATTAACGACGACGCGGGACTTCCTCGACAGGGGCAGGAATGTGCCCAACTGGCTCAATCACCGCATTTAAAAGAACGCATTGAAATCATTCTTAGTGAAAAGAATCATGAATGCGACACTCTCTTCAACTACAATGGCCTTCGACGATAATCCCAGTGAGATGTCATGCCGAAGTTCACACTTTAAAAACAACTTGAGGACAATGCAGAGTGCCCAGTGCTGGTTACCCCGCGTAAGCTCTTCAAACTTCCGACTTCAGCCTCATGGGATAAAACCCCTTTCAGATTAGTGAAAAACAAGCTTGGAAAACGTCCCCAGCGTCTTAACCAACGATCAGCTCTATTTCAGTATGCCAGCTTTATCATTGTTAATAGCCTGTTTTTCATAAATTGTGCATTAAGGAAAATCAATAATTACTTCTTATCAGTTTTATTTTATTCGTAGAACACAACAACAACAGGCCAATTATCCTAGGATTTTAAAGCTGGACCATTTGCGTACAAAAAAATCAGACAATTTAGTGTTTGGAAGACCACGTACTCGCGACTCCAAAAAGTTGCCCATGTAGAGAGGCATTAGAATTTAAAACTTACTTGAAAAGAATTTCTCTGACAAACTGACTACTACATAATGCGTCAGCAAATACTCGAGTTTTCGATGAGGTTTTACGTGTTCAATGGTCAAAACACAAATTGCCACACACGCATTTATAACTGTGTATCTTACATCGCTGAAGTTCGTTTGCGCCAACCAGAGTAAGTAAGCCTCTACCCCGTTCCCTGATGTTTGATGCAAGAAACCCCCTGATTCAACGGCTATTCTGATTTTCCCAGCTGGGGTAAGACAGTGAACAACAAGACTGGAGTTCTAGTATAATTGAAAATCAGATTTGGCGGGTTGTGCTTAAATACGAACAGTTCTTGTAGCAAAAAAATAAAGTTGCATTTTATTGGTTAATCAGTTCAAAAAAAATTCGACACCATTGAGAGGTGAGATTTAACAAAAATAAGTTGTATTAGCACTTTGATATTAATATTTACAGACGTAGCAGAGAGTCACAAACAACTGAGGGTGAAAGACATGCTTACTACGGGTGTTAGTCGGGGTTTTACAATACACGTCACAGTCTCAGAAGGGCACATATTCGGTCGCGTGTTTTAATTGAGTGACAAAGGCGATTAGGTACAATATTATACGTTGTGAAAGTTACGTGCACGTAAGTTAAAATAATGTGTATTACGGAGTGATTCCCCTCTGCCAAAGTCTTGTGCGCAAAATTCATCCTAAAACCAAGAGCAGCAGCTAACTTTTAAGTACTTAGTGAAAATTATTTATAAAAAAGTGGAAAAAAGAAAGTACATAAAGGGGAAATCAATCTAACCTTTCTTAGTTTAAAGAAGGGTTTAAGGAGATTCATAATTCCGGTGGCGAGAATGATATCCGCAGCCGCAACAGTGATTCGGTTTGGCCAGACATTGAAATAAACCCTGACACTCTAGCCTACTTAAAGCGCCTTGAAGCCAACAAATGACATTTTACCGAATTTACGATTGGTCAGTCCATAAATCTAGCAATCCAATAGGTGTAGCCAAGGCCGTTGTGGGAAAGACTAGCCCAACAACGTCTATCTCCAAGTCAGAGGAACATCAATGGCAAGCGCCACGCGTTACTGGAATGGTAACTAAGGTCTTATCGCGACGAGGAAATTCCGTAGCGTAGCAGCACCTGTCATTAAATACTTTGGCAACAAAACTTAAGTGTAAAAGTACTAACAAGTAGGGATAACAGCTTTCAGACACCATGGTATATTTTTCAAGCATAATATGAATCCAATGTGGCAGAGTGCATTCGTTTAAACGACCAAATATTTGGCTTATGTCTGGACACACGATCTAAAGTGGCTAGGAACCAGACCAACTCGTTAATCTGTATGAGCTTTAAGTAAAAATAGCAAAGATAACAGTCTCGAACGTTTAAAATTCACCCGAAAACCCATTTAGTGTCAGTTGCCATGCCTTTGAGAAGAATTTGAGAAACACCGACGCACCACAATCACGTCCAGAAAGGAGGGCAAATTCCACGCCCAGTCTACCTGGAATCTGCCATCCATAAAAGCCTTTGGCGCCAAACCCAACTTGCTGTGGGAATAACTTTCGTAGCCTCCACATTTCAGCAGTAATTTACTGTGGCTTGGCGTTTACACAGAGAGACAACCTTTGCAACTGTTGTTTTTATTTCCAAATTAACGTCTGGCGTTGAACCAAAGCAAACAGGTGGCTTCTTTAAATCAAAACCAGTTAAAAACTCTGGAAATTAGCCTGCGACTTGACTTGATCCAACCAAGTGGAACCCCTTCATGATGTGTTTTCTGGTGCTTAATTAACAGACAGCCAGTTCGTTTTAGTGAGCGCTGTTAACCGGCGCAGCTTCACTTCATCAAGGCTTCTGTGTATACACGCTTGATGGTATCTCTGTCATAAGGCATTCCAAAATCCTCCTTAGATAGAAATCAGTCACTGGGATTTAAAGTGGCGATATATTCAGAACTATCAAAACCACAATAAGGAAAGAGTTATTTTGATAGCTCAAAAAACTGTTTGAAAAAAAAACATTCCTGAAGTTCAGATTTACTGGTTTCCAGCGCACTAGACGAAACTATTCGAAGTCAACTTGCACAAGTTAATCGAACAAAACGCGCAAAAACGTCAAATATATCATATCTGCAATTACAAAAAGTGAGAGAAGAAATTTTCTATCAAGCGCAAATCAAATCCTGTTAAAATTAAACATGACTTTGGTGTGAATGAAACCAAACTGGCGAGAAAATTTGGCCACACACACGAGAAGTCACCTCATCTGAAGGTTTCAATTTGGCATGTGGGATTGAATGGGGTAGTTTATGCACAAAACTTTAAGTTACCTTATCGCTTGATAACGAATCGACCTCCGCTTGAAAGTCGTCATTGATTTCTGTTTCGAAAATCTCCAGAGCTTCTTCTTCATTTGGGGTTCCACTTTGAGATGTCGTCGTGCCCAGAAATGGAATGGTGCAGGTGTTTGACGTTTCCATAACACTCGTCTCCCCACGAGATTCTACGTGACTTTGGATGAGCAGTTTCTCCACGGAGTCGTAAATGACAACCGGAGGAATGCCTTCAGCAGCCAGCGTGTCGTTGGCGTCAAGGACGTAGGTCTCCGCGATGCTCTGAATCGACTGCGCCGCCTGAATTGCGGCGGCGGCGGCAGCGTCGCCATTGTGGTCCTTCGGTTGCGTCACGGGATTCTCCAAGGTCACCGTCGACGCTGCGTTGCTCATTACTTGTTTAGCGAGGCTTTCATCGGGACCAGAATTTTCCGCAGCAGTCAGCGGGCTTTCGACTGGTTGGCGAGGAATTTCAAGCGACGCTGAGACTGCTTTGCCACGGATCCACGTTCGACCAAAGTCTTCGACTAGAGGACTCAGTGCTTCAACAAGCTAAATGAAGTGAGCTGGGTAATAATAATTACTCGTGACTTTTAGATCAGATCAAGCTACGGTCAGATACTCTATGTCTTCGTGCAGATATAGAAGGAAGCCAGAAAAATCGTAGCCATTGTTTCCTTAATTAATCTAGACGTTTTCTGACATTCGCTATATCTGATCTACTATTATGCCTAATTACGAAGTCGCAGAATTATAACAAATTAATTAGTGTCGACTGCAATTTTATACAATAACTGTATCTCAATGACCAGAAAGAAGTTGTTTACCTTTAAAACAACCTATCGCGGACAGAAAAAGTTTTTAGTGAAGCCATTTGGCACCCGTTTTTAAAGGCTAGACGTTAAACACTACACACACACCCTCGAAGACAATTTGCCTAGACTTTATGTCCCAGCTTGACACCAAATTCCTTAAAGCAAAGGCATTTACTCCGTTTATGTGTATTTTAAAATAGAAAAATTTGTTTTAGATATTTAAACGACTACAACCAAGCTTTGTTCAAACATTATTGTGTACACCGAAGAAATAATTCGGAAAGAAATGTCGAAAACGCTGACAGCTTAAAGAACACTTTTCTAAAAATGATAGGAATTTAATGTAGTTAATCTAACTGACGACTTACGAGTTTCTTCGTGGAAAATTTGAACGACTTTACTTTAAACCGGTATTTAAAAATGTGTTTATGGATTAAGAGAAGGCAAAAATAGGAAAAAATGGTTTTTATCGACTTCTTTGTCTTCAACAGTCAGTAAATCCATTTCCGTCCCGAATTTAATTATTCCGGTCTATAAATGTTCCTAACACCGATTAGATCACTTCACATCAGTGCCAAAGGCAATCATGAGAGAATGTTTTAACCATTCGAAATTATTCCTGCACTGTTCCCAGAAGGTACTAATTAAAGTGAGCATGTGACTTCTTGCGATAGCTGATATTTTAGCCTCGATTTGCCATCTAAGCGTTTGGTCTGGCCTAAATTTAACCACCAGATCACGACTGCATACTACAATTTGCCATGTGATTTGACGATTTGTAATGACAAAAAATGCATCGACGTGCTTTGAAGGAATTTGCTGCAGAAGCTGCTAAGTAAATCAAAGCTCAGGACACGAAAGTACCTTGGGTTGTAGACCTGGAATCTACTAGTATTATAAGTTGCAATTACAATAAACTAACTACTTAATTTTAGGATGACTTTTAAAAACTAGTAACCGATACAAAGGTACTCCGACATTTACTAGGGTACAGGATCAAAAAAAATGTCACGCACCGCCGCCTCATCCGGTTCCTCACTCTCACCGAACTTGTCAATTTCCGCCTCAACCTTCTCAAACAATTCCAACTCCTGCCTCTCCTCTGGCGTGCAAACTACTGGCGTTTTCGGCTTTGATGCAGCAGCTGCGACCTTGAACTCATCAAACACCGACTGAGTGGTACTCTTGGCGGCAGCAACAGCGCTGTACGTGGCGCTAATGCCTTTGAACATCTTCGCCATAATGTAGTCCTTGGGGTCCTTGTATGACCAGATTTCACGGGACACGGGGTCCAAGGAAGACAAGGAAGAGGGCTCTGCAGCAGTGGACTTGACGAAAAGACAGTTATCTCGTTGAGGCTGGGCGGTGGGCTTTGTAAAGCTGCTAGTTAGATGGGAAGCGGGCTTCGGCTTGTCAACGCGAGAGCCGGAGACCGCAGGCGCTGTGGTTAGTCGGGGAGTGTCTAGCCAAAAGTAAATAAAGATGGGATTAACGTACACTTTTTAGATGGTCCTGGCAGCATCCGTCAAATTACGCATCTGTTTAGGTCGTCCACGTCGTTGAAACAACAGGGGTCCCGGTGGAACACTGCCATCAAAGCGGAAGTCTCAAAAGCATTAAAATCCTCTGGGTATTTTTATGTGTTTTAGTTATAACCTAAATATGATTATAAAATCATTTAGGAAAATCTCAATCTAATCTGTTTGGGATGGAAAAAAGCCCCACAGCAATGCTAATTTGTTCGTTTATTAATGATGCGGCCTTATGGCAGACGACAACACATTACTTGTGCAAACTGATTTGCCGTGCCTCGGGAAATTTGCCCCAGACCTAGCACACAAACTGTCAAATGACAAAACTAATGGAAGCCTTATCTTTGCCTCAAGGGTTCATCCAAGGCAGGAAAGTAGATGCTCCATCTAATTGGACAGTTTCCTCATTTTTACTCCGAGAGCCATAGAGATAAAACTAAGTTGATAGACAGGGCTGGTTGGAAATCAACAAAAGTTATAACCATGAAGAGAATTTTGGCTTGGAAAATCTGCATGATGCATTCAAACTTGTTCATTGTTTTTTTTCGCTTTGGTTTATGCAATAAGGTGCACGACGTAATTTTTGCAGAAACTTCTTTCGAGCTCAAACTTATATTTAAAATAGGAGAATTTTCACGGTCTTTTGTGGTTTCGAAAGGATTGCGAGCAAGGTTTTTAGACAACCAAACGCCAATTCTAAATGAGTCACACAACCACTTACAATAGCAGGGGTTACGATGGCAACTGATAAAGAACACGTTCGGCACTGCGTTTTGTGCGAATCTCAACAAGGAAAAACTGATCCCAAAGAACGGGAATCAAGTTTTAGTGTCAGTGGTGCCAACGTAGTGTCTTATGAGAAGTGTTGTAGTGAATCGTGTTGATTCACGTTAAACACCCAGTCGTCGCAGCCTCACACATGTCCCCTCTGTTCACAACCTGCCCGTCAGTCACGTGAGGCCATTGGTCCATTAACACCTGTGCATGTCCCACCACCAGTTTTAT